GGGGGGGGGGGGGGTCACCAGGATCTCTGCTTGCAACCCCCCGTCACAGAGTGTGGTACATCCCGCCCCGTACCTGGGTAGAGCGACAGCCCCTCCTGGTCCGTGCGGCAGGGCTCCAGGAGGGTCCGGCACAGGCAGCCGATGGGGTCCAGGGGGTGGCCCACCCAGCCCTCCAGGTTGGTGATGGACGTGCTGCCCTTGTGCAATATCTCTGTGGGGAGGGGGAAGGCCCATGAGATGCTGGCTCCCGCCCCACAGCTGAGACCGGCCACGCTCGCTGCATGGGGGCCCCTCCCGGCCCAGAGCCCCCTGCTCCTCCACACCTGAGTCAGGGAGCCCCTGGCTGGCGCTGGCAGGTCCATCTCCCACTGTTAGACGCTAAGGCCTTGAGCAGAGCAAGGAACCCAGGCGTCCTGGCTTCCAGCTGGCTCCGCCCACTAGACCTCCTCCCCGCATCCTCCCAAGACTGGGAATAGAACCCAGGCGTCCTGGCTCCCAGCTGGCTCCCCCCACAAGACCCCCCCCCCCCATCCCCCTAGGACTGGGAATAGAACCCAGGCGTCCTGCCTCCCAGCCCCTCCCCCACCTTTCTTCTGCTGCTTGTAGCTCTCGAGCTGGTGGCGCCGCTGCAGGCGCATGGTGTTGCCGAGGGCGGTGGCCAGGCGCAGGGCCTCGCGGGGGTAGCCGTGGGAGCGCAGGGCGTCCACGCGGGCGCAGGCCGTGGGGAAGGGGTCGCCCAGCCAGAGCGGGCGGCCCTGGGGGTCGAAGCAGAGCTTGTCGCCGCCTGTCTTCAGGCCCAGGCCGTAGCAGTCGCTGCCGAGGATCTTCTGCAGGTGGCAGTCGCCCCAGCGCAGCTCCCCGGCCTTGATGGCGCGGCCGAAGACGGTCTGGCGGGCGCCCGCTGAGGGGGTAAAGCCGGAGTCAGGGCAGGGCAGCAAGAGGCTGAGCCTGTCCCCACTAGGGGGCGCCAGCTCTGATCCGGCCCCAGGGCAGGGGCCTGGCTGGCTCGGGAATGGGGCTTGGGGCCTTTCCCCTGTAGGGGCCCCCCCGAGATGTGAGCCATGGGGAGTAGACCCCCCCCCACTGCCCTGGGGTCCAGGGAATGGGGAACTGCTCCCAGCTCCATCCATCCCTGCCCCTCCAGCCTATCCCCTACATCTCCGCTTCAAGTTCCCACTCCTGTCCCCCACATGGGGCCTGGATTCTGTCCCACCCCCATACCTGCGCTGGGGACTGAGGGGAGCTGCAGGGCCGCGGTGGCTCCAGGCACATCAAAGGAATAGTTTCCCTCCTCCAAGGGGCAGACGTCCAGCTTGTTCCACTTCTTCAGCAGCGCCAGCCACAGGGCGCGCTCCTCCGGCTTGCAATGGGGGTTCAGGACCACGCACACCCACAGGGCCCCTGCAGCAGGGAGAAGGGGGTGACGCAGGCGCCAGGCAAACCACACTTCACCCAGGCTGCAGGTGCGGAGTGAGGGGCACAAGCAGAGCTGGGGTTGGAAGGCCCCGGACTGGGACAGCAGGGGGCTGCGGGTCGGGAGTGGGGGGGCACCGGCAGGGCTGTGAGCCCAGGGCCGGCATAGCGGGGGCTGCGGGTCGGGAGTGAGGGGCACCAGCAGATTAGCCTGGGAGGTGCTAGTCTAAGAGGCTCCCTCCTTTACCCAGCTCGTCCCACAGCTGCCGGCACTTGTCCGTCATGCCGGCTCCCTGCTGCCTCCACAGGGCCAGGCGCGGGTCCTCCAGGAACTGCTCCGTCATCAGGATCAGCATGCGGGCGCCGTTGGAGTCCCGCATCCGCAGCATCTCGCGCACCTGGGGGGGTGGGAGAGACTCAGGGGGGCTTGCAACCGCTGCGGCCCGAGGCAGATGGAGCCAGAGCCTGGGGGGGCGGGGGGAAGCCGGGGAGGTTGTGGCCCTGCTGAGGCTGGGGAGCCCTTGGCGGGAGGGGGGTGCGGGGGCAGGAGTTACCTTGTTGAACATGGATTGCAGCTGCTTGCTGGCTCCGTAGTAGCCGCCGTTGGACAGGAGCTGCCTGACCTGCTCCTGGATCTGCTCCTCGTCCAGGTGCCAGCAATTAGCGTCCTCGATGCCGGCGCCAGCCGTGGGGTCTGGGGCACCTGGGGGGGGAACAGAGTCAGCAGGATAGAACCCCCTGCTCCCCTGGGACTCCACCTCCCCTCTTGGGCACAGGGGTGAGTGACAGAGGCCCCTGCTCTGCAGCCAATGGGGGGAGGCAGATCCCAGATTCTACAGCGACCCAGGGGTCCCCCCACTCTGTAGCCAGTGGGAGGCGGATCCCAGGGCCTAGAGCGACCCAGGGGTCTCCCACTCCATAGCCAATGGCAGGCGGCCCCCCCGTACCGTGCACCCGGTTGATCTCGGAGCCCAGCAGGAGGATCTCGTCGGCCAGCCGCTGGGCGGTGGGCAGCACCTCGGTGTGGTGGGCGCTGATCAGGTACTGGACGAACTTCTGCAGCTGGTCACGGTTCATCTGGGAGAGGGTCTCGGAGATGGGCAGGCGCAGCTCCACCTGCCGAGCGTTGCGAATGCGGTAGAGCGACAGCGCCACCACGTGGGCGCAGTAGAAGATGTCCCGGTTGTCGCAGGCGCAGCTCACCGACGTGATCTTGCAGCGGTCAAAGCTGATGGAGACGTGGAAGCTCCGCTCCGGCTCGCTGGGGCCGGCCGGCTCCGTCACGGTCCCACTCAGGTGGAAGCCTGGGGCAGGAGGGGACAGGGTTGCTGTGGGAAGGGGGAGGTGGTCCTCTGCTCCAGCCACTAGACCCCACTCCCCTCCCAGAGCTGGGGGCAGAACCCAGGAGTTATGGGTCCCAGACCCCCTGCTCTAACCACTAGACACCTCCTGCCCATTGTCTATGGAGACTGGGAGCTCTCTGGGGGAGGGACCATCTCTCCCAGTGTGTCTGGCAGCACCTGGCGCAGTGGGGCCCCCGAGCTCAGTCGGAGCCTGCACAGGGCCTGGCCCAACAGGGGCCCCCGATCCTGGGCGGTGGAGCTGCCGTGGGGAATCTGCGCAGTGCTTGGCCCAACGAAGGCCCCGGTCTCAGCTGAGGTCTCTAGGTGCTGCCAGGGAGTCGGCCCCGGGCTTCCCCCTCAGCTCCTCTGTCACAGAATCACCAGGTCGGTCGGGAAGACGCCTCATGAGGTCACCACCTCCAGCCCCCTGCGCCCAGGCAGGGCCAAGGAAACCTCGACTGGCTCTGAAACGCTCCAGTGATGGGGATCCCGCAGCCCCCCTTGGACGCCTGGCCCTGAGAGTTAGACGGTTCCCCTAATATCCAGCCAAAATCTCCCCTGCTGCAGACGAAGCCCAGGGCTTCTTGTCCTGCCTCCAGCGGCCCCGGAGAACAATCCATCCCTGTCCTCTGGCTGAGTTTCCAGCCTGCAGGAGGCCAAGAGCTCCAGGGCACGTGCCGAATCCACGCCGGCAATTCCTCCATGCCCTATTTTCTCCCCTTTCCTCACAGGCCAAGGCTCTCCTCCGGACTCTCCCCGACTTCCCTCCAGCGCGGCCCCCCAACACCGACCTCCGGGCCTGACACACCCCACGCCTGTGACCTCGCCCCACTTAGGGCAACTGCATCCCATTGCTGGCCCATATTCAATTTGTGATCCACCATCACCCCACCCAGTGGGCCCTGCCGATCAGCGTCTCCCCCTCTGCGCCTGCCAGGGATCAGCTGTTTCGTGGCGTCAGGAGGCGCTGGGGGGGGGGGTGAGGGCGCAGATCACTTGGGGGAGGGGGCGGAACTTGGTGGGGAAGAGGCGGGGTGGGGCCTTGGGGGAAGGGGTTGACTGGGGGTGGGGCCTGGGCAGAGCCGGGGGGGGAAGGACCCCCTGGCAGATTAGAAACCCTGCACCTCTGTCCTGGGCCCCGCACCCCCTAGGGACGGCCCTGTCCCCGTCCTGTAGCTGTGCCTTTTGCTTTTTCCTTCCTCAGAGCGGGATTTTCCTCTTCTCTTTCCCGAACTGCATCTTGCTGATTTCAGACCCATTCTCTGATCTGTCACAGTCGTCCTGAATCCGAGTCCTGCCTCCAAAGCGCGGCCAGCCCCTCGCCGCTCGGTGCCATCTGCCGATTTTATCAGCCGCCCCTCCATCATCCGCGTCATTAACGAAAACGGCAAATGGTGCCGGACCCGGGACTCAGCCCTGTGGGACCCCACCAGATACGTCCTCCCCGCTGGAGGCCAAACCTCGGAGAACGATTCTGAGCACAGTCATTCAAGCCGCTGTGCACCCACCTTATCGTAATTCCATCTAGACCACACCCCCCACGTCTGCTCATGAGAACGTCACGTGGGACGGGGTCAAAAGCCTGCATAAAATCACGATACATCACGGCTACTGCCCACCCCACCCCCCAGGCCAGGAACGCGCTCAAAGGAGGACATGAGGTTGGTCTGGCCTGGCCTGGCCTGCCCTTGACAGATGCTGGCTACCCCTTCTCAACTGTTTGTTTGTTCCAGTATCTTTCCTGCTATCAGGGTCAGGCTGACTGGTCTCTCGTTCCCAGGCTGCGTCCTTCCCCTTTGGAAAAGACACGTTTGCCCGGCTCCGGGCCCTCCCCCGGCCTCCGGGAGGTCTCCAACGGTTCACGCTGCTTCAGCCGGTTCCCTAAGGACCCAGGACGAATGCACCGGGCCCTGCCGATTTGCATACAGTTAATTGCTCTAAGTCTCCTTGCACCTTTCTCGGGGCTGCGCACCTGGTCGCCATTAACCCTTGCAGCGATGACCGAAGCAAAACAGGCATTAAACACCTCAGCCCTCGTGGGGTCACCAGCGATCGGCTCTCCGGCCCCGCTGAGTAGTGGCCCGGCTCTTCCGTTCGCCTTTCTCTTGCTCCTGCTGCATTTAAGCAATCTCTGGGTCTTGCGGCTTGCGTCCCTCGCCAGGGGTAGCTCGTTTTGTGCCTTAGCCGGGCTCAGCCGGCCCGTGCTGCTCTTTCGTGCTCCTTCTTAGCACTTGTTCCCACGTTTGGCAGGAGCCCTTTCGGAGTTTCAAGTCATTAAAAGCCCGTCCCTTCCCCTCCCCGGGTCACCTGCAGTCCCTCCCCCGGCCAGGAGCAGGTGTTTGCGGGTGAATCCCCGTGAGGCTGGGCTGGCGAGTGCTGGCTTGCCCGGAGGAAGGGGCAGGGGAGGTCAGCCCGCGTGGCACACACCCAGCGGGTGAATCACACGGGTGAGACGGGTATTGGAGGTGGGAGGGGGTGACACAGACACCCTGATGGAACCAGTCCCCCCCTCCCCCCCCCCGTGTCATAGCATGGGTGGCAGGTGCTGACGTCTGACCGAGACTGGCCCGGGGCCAGGCGGTGACTCACGGTGACACAGCTGGGGGTGGAACCCGTGGCTGCCGGCTCCCGTCACCGCACGCCACAGGCTGGGCCGGAGCCAGCGGCACACACGGGAGGGGCTAGAACTAGGAAGAGGAACAGGCAGTGGGAACGGTGGGTGCCGGGAAGGACGGGGTCAGGGACACAGCAGCCACCCAGGCCACCCTCCCCTGACTGAGACTGCGGGGAGTAAAACAGACACCGTTACCACCCAGGGACTGTGCTTCAGCCCGGCTGGAGTCCCCACAACCCAGAGGGGCCCCGTCACCCCCCAGGCCAGAGAGAAATCCAGGCACTTCACCCACCCCCCACGGAGAGAGAGACACCACCCAAAGTCCGGGGCTGGGGTCCCGCGTGGCGGGCTCGGAAAGCCGGGCGGGGTGGTGGTGAAGGAGCTGGGCTCGGGGAGATCCATGCTCAGCTCCCAGCTCCGACAGACTCTGGGTGTTGTCCAGCAAGTCAGTGGCAATCTGTGCCTCAGTTTCCCCCCCCCCCCCCCGATCTACTGTGTCGAGATAATAATCCTCTACTGGGCGTGTGAGCTCTGTGGGGCAGGGACTGTCTCTCACTAAGGCGTGGGGAGATGGGGGGCTGCAGCACCCAGAACCCCAGGGAGCCCTAGCACAGAGAACCAGAAACCACAGTGGGGAACAAGCTTATAACTGTCACTGGGATGCAGGATTCTTCACTTCCTGTCTTCAGCGGGGGTGTGGCTTGTACACAGCTGCTGCACCCCACCCCAGTGCTGCTGCATTTCAGTGCTGGGTGAGGGATCCCTGTACAAACAGCCCCTGCGTCCCACCCCAGAGGCAGCTGTAGCTTGGTCAAGGGCCTCTAACCACTGCCATTATAGAAATAAATGCTAAACTTTCCAGAGCTGTTCAACAATCCCCACCAGCCCTCAGAGCCCTCAGCTCCACCAGCAATAAAGTTCCTTCCTCAAAGTGGCGGCGTGAACCCCGGCGTTCGGGCTGGATTCGGACAGGCAGTTGCACTGCGATGGCCGCTCTCGTGCTGTTTTGGTACGATCCTCCTCCCCCTCCCATCCTGACCTGTTGAGCAGCGCCGCTTTGCTCCACCCCAGAAGCGGCTGCATCTCAGGGGCAGGTGAGATTTAGATCGCGGGGTCCTTAGAGACGAAATACAGAAACAGACCCGACAAGCTTCCAGCCTGAATACGGAAACTCCATTAAATGTCTCACTCCCCCACAGCCTGTGACCCTGGACACTGGACTGTGTTACAGACCCTGTAAACGCCACGGCCCCTGCTCGGAGATCTCGGGGGGAGGAGAGCAGTACGACCCAGGGGGTTAGAAATACACAGCCCTGGCCGGAGGAGCCAGCCAAACTGAGCTACAACCAGGCTGATTTCAGCGAGCACTATTAGGGATATTACGGTGGCCCTAGTCAAGACTGGGGCCCCATTGTGCCAGGTGCTGCACAGACAGCGAGTCCCTGCCTTGAAGAGACACAGGGTGGGAGGGGAAACTGAGGCGCGGGGCAGGGACATGGCAGAGCCAGGAAAAGAACCCCGGCATCCTGACTCCCAGCCTGGTGCCTGGGCCAAGTTGCCCCTGCTTCTACTCCAGACCCGGTGTCAAATCAGCGGTGGGAGTCGCATCTCGGCGCCAGGTGCACTCGAAGCCGCACTGCCTCCGGCTTGGAGCAGGGGCGCGGGACAAGCAGAGTCCTGGCTTTCACCCCGTGGGCCCTGCCCACTCCCCTCGCACGAGGTGAGCACCGGGGGCTGCTCCCCCCACCCCGGGACAGCACGCCCAGAAATCCCCAGCGCCCATGGGAGCTCTGGGGCAGAGGGGCTGGGGGCAAGCAGTCGACTGAGGCTGGTCCTCCCTCTCCCCCATACACAACCCCTCCCCGGATCTCCGGCCCACACCCTGCTTCCCATCTCCGCGTGCTCGGTGCCCCCTCGGAAATCGGCCACCTTTCCCCTCCCAGCCCCGAGGGGGAGCCGCTCACCCCTTTGCATCTCCAAGAGCGCCTGGCCCCACCCCAAACTGGGCCTGCGTTTATCACCCCGGGGACAAGCTCCCGAGGGGCCTGGCGGCTGCGCCAGCCCCAGCCCGAGAGCGGATGTGTTTCTAACCCGGCTGCTCTAGGAACCGGCGGGCGCTGAGCCACGCAGGAGGTCAGGCACCTGGGCTGGCCTGGGAACCTACGCTCCCCGGGGCGTCGCCAGCCTGCGCTCCCCGGGGCGTCCCCAGCCTGCGCTCCCCGGGGCGTCCCCAGCCTGCTCGGGAGGCAAAGGGCCAGGAGCTCGAGGCAGCCGATTTCGAACTCCCCCAGAGCCTCCCCAGTGTCCAGGCGCTGGGACGAAGGGGCACAGGGACTGCCCGCCCGGATCAGAGCGGAGGCCCAGCTGTCCACCTCCCTGTGCTTCCGGGCACAGTGAACCTACCCCGCGGCAGCCCCCAAGGGATAACCCGCCCCTTGCCTGAGTCTCTCCAAGGGCGTCCACACTGCAGCGCAAGCCTGGGTTTACAACGGCTGGACCTGGGTGTCACAGCCACGCTAACGCCTCCGCGCTGCCCCCATTTCAGGTCTGCACCTTGCCCTGTCTCCACACTGTGAAACGACAGGGCTTGGACCGGAGTCACAGCAGGGCTTGGGCTGAGAGCCCCCCCAGCAGGGTCCCAGGACCAGCCCAACGCTGAGAGTCAGAGCCCAGGCTTAGACTGTAGTGTAGACAATACTCTTCTCATCAGAGCTTGGCTTCAGCTCTGAAGAAAGAAGTCGTCCATCCCTTCCTACATGGCTGCTAGCAGTAACTGCGGCTATCCTTGTTACCCCTGTAAAACATCCAATCCCTCTGACCCGTGCTCAATTCTCAGCCCCGCTGCCATCCAGCGGCCGTGGGTTCCACAGGCTAACACACTGGGCAGACAGTCTTTCCTTCCAGCAGTTTGGAAGAAGATGCCTTTTCATTTCACCAATGTCCCCTTGATATTCATAGAATATCAGGGTTGGAAGGGACCGCAGGAGGTATCCAGTCCAACCCCCTGCTCAACGCAGGACCAATCCCCAGGCAGATTTTTTGCCCCAGATCCCTAAATGGCCCCCTCAAGGATTGAACTCAACCCTGGGTTTAGCAGGCCAATGCTCAAATCACTGAGCTATCCCTCCCCCCCTCAATCTCGTGCTGCAAGACAGAGTCCCCACAGCCAGACGCTCTTCAGCTCAGACATCTGCTAGCGTCTCTTTCTTTCCCTCCGGGAGCTTTTACACCAAGAACACACGCGGTTAAGCCACCCCACTGGCCCCAGCAGTAACCCTGCAGAACGAGGACACAGCAGCGTCTTAGAGACAGGCAGGATGGCTCTGGCCCCAGCTTTGCAAATTCAGCCAGTGGAGAAGGTGCTGGGTCTGACACCCACCTGGATATTTCAAATCAGCAAACCTGCCTTGAATGCAGGGATGGGCAGGTCAGGAGAGCTGGGAATGAAGGGCACGCGAGCCCTGCAGGTCCAGCTGCGGCCAGGTAGCTGGCTCCACATGGTTCTGTATTAGCGATGGGGCCCACCTGTGTGCTACGTGTCCCTGAGCAGATCAGGGCTGGAGCACAGCCCAGAGACATGGCAAGGTCCGGTCCACACAAAATCACAACCGGGGGTTGGAAATGGGTCCTCTGCCACGGTGGCTGTATTGGCCTGTGTTTCTACCGCGTGGGAACAACAGACCCCCAGTTCAGGGACCCTCAGCAGCACGCCTCAAAGCGCTTCACGAACAAGGTCGGAATGATTATCCCCGTTTTACATATGGGGAAACTGAGGCACAGAGCCAGGCCCTGACTTGCCCATTGTCACCCAGCAGGCCAACGGCAGAGCTGGGAACAGAACCCAGGACTCCTGCATCCCCCCCAGCCATGAGGTCACACTGCCACCCCATTCAGCACCTTCCATACCCCATTCCCACGTGTACGACGCCTACCAAATAAAATCGGCCTTTCCATTAGTAGCTCAGGGACGCCGGACACACAATCGGGCCCGAATACAAAGCAGCGTGGGGAGCGGCTCCCTGCACACAGCTGCACGCACAGGCTCACAAGGCCTTAATTCCCAGGTCTGCCTGGGCCTTTCCCCAACAGAGGATTGCTGGCGTGAAATAGCCAAGCGGGTGCCGGACCCGACACCTTCCCGGGAGCTGAATTTGCAACGCTGGGTGCTGGAGATGCTGCTCGGTCCTCATTCCGTGGAGATACTTCCGGGGACAACCACCGTGGGGGCGAAAGCTTGCAGCCTCGTGGCACGCAACCCCCCAGCGAGAGACGTCGGAGCAAGACAGAGAACCTTATGTCCATGGGTCTCTCACTGCAGGAACCCCAGAGGGCATCCCCTTGTACAACAATGGGCCTCTGTTGAGCATTTTCAGACCCTCCGAGATCCAGTGAGGAGCAAATTTCAAATCCATCCCCAGGAAATCCCACGGGAGCGTCTGAGTCTCGATCCACACAAGCAAAGCTGTGCTGCGGGTGCGCTTGTCCGTACCAGACCTTCCCTCGGCCAGTTTTGAGAGTTTATTCCCAGGCAATTCCCCTGGGGCAAGGGGAAATCATTGGGGTTATTTTCCCCGCTGGGGTGAAGTGGATCATAGTTTTCACCAGGGTCGGGGAGAAGAACCAGATTTCACACAACACCGACCCCAGCTGGAACCACGTTTAAAAGACACAAACAGACTTTTGTTGCCTAAATGAGAAGGGGACGGGAAGCCCTAGAAGTTGGCGGAGGAGTTGCTAGCGCAGGCACACAGATACCCCCCCACCCCCAGCTGCCTACAGTTTCTCCTGTAGGGCCTGGAACAGCCCTTGGGGGCGGGATAGCATCGAATGGGGAGAGAGCTCAGACAAAGGCAAAGCATGTGTTTTGGGCTAAGCGGCCAGGTCCAGGAAGACAACCGGACGCGCCACACTAGAGACAGGGAGTGGCTGGTCCACAGCCGGGAGGGTGAGACCAGGACATGGGGCTTCGCCCAGAGACCTGGCCGGTGCTGATCTGAAGGTGCTAGGGCTGGGGACGTTGCAAGCCGGACGGGACCCGGCCCTGGGGAACGGGACCCAGAGAGCAATACTGGCTGGGTGAGAGGACTGGATCCCAGGGTGTGGGCCCGTCCCATCTCAGCAGCTGAGACTCAGCCCAGTTCTTAGGGCAGCAATTGTCCGTGTCACAAACCCCAGCAGTGATCAGCCCCTGGAGTCCCAACTGATTGGGGTCCCTGTTGTACCAGGCGCTGCGCAGTCACTCACAAATTAATCCTTGATCACAATTAGGGGCCTGTTCTGGGTGCTGCACAGACACCCCTGACGTGGGGGTCCCTGTCGTTCTGGGTGCCACATGGAGCCCCCTGTCCATGACTGGGGGCCCCTGTCATGCCAAATGCCACACAGGTGCACCCCCCAACCATGATCCGAGCCCCCTCATGCCAGGCACCACACAGATCCTCCCCCCTCCAGCTAGCATGGGCTGCACAGACACAGAACGACAGCTAAATAGAGACGACAGAGGAAGGATCAGCCCCTGTTTTAGATCTGGGGAAACTGAGGCCCAGAGAGACACAGCGATTTGCCCAAGGAGTCTGTGGCAGAGCCAGGCAGGGGAACTCCGGTCCCAATCCTGTGCCAATCCCTCTCTCTTGGGCAGGCTGAGCAGAAGGACTGAGGGGGTCCCTGCCAATGCCCTCGCAGCGAGAATCTACCTATGCAGCAGCTTTCGCCAGCCCCAACTGCCCTCTGCCCCGGCCCCCACCCTGCCCCGCTCCCAAGCCCCCAGCGGGCGACACTCACCCACTTGCAGCACCCGGTCGACGGCCCCAGATTGCAGCAGGTGCAGGCCGCGGTTGAAGGGCACCCGGGAGTCTCGCTCGCCTTCGGGGGGGTGGCAGCCGAGGGACGAGTACATGCAGATCTCGCGCTCGCTGCGCGGGAAGGACCAGAACACGATGCGCTTCTGCACAGGCTCCGGGACGCGGGAGAATCGCTCCTCTACCTGCAGCGCACGGGGGCAGGGGAGGAAGGGACATGGCATCAGGCACCCACCTGGTCTCAGCCAGCGACTCGAGCTCTTCCTCCCCTAGGCGGACAAAGGCCCGTGGAAACTGATAGGCCAAAAATCTTCCCAGTGCACCGGAGTAGCAGGGATGTTCCTGTCACTGGCCCGGCCCAGCCCCTGGCTAGGATGAGCCTGCACCTGGGAGCCAAGGCTGATGAGATGCCCCCTTGGGGAGCCAGTTTGGTCGAGCAGGGAGACAGCTAGACTGCTGTTCCCTAGACGCCCTCCCGAGCGAGGTGCACATGGGGCGTCTCTGAAGCGTTCTCCCCTGAGCATGATGGGAGGGAAGTGAGGTCTAGTGGCTAGAGCAGGGGACGACTCTTAGATCCTGTGGAACGCTCCCCATCACTACAAGCCCGACCCAGTGGCCGTTGGCTTGAAAGACTCAACGGGGAACGGAGACAAGGTGTGTGGGGGAGCAAGGACCACGACGACAATCCAGGCCCTGGAGAGACACCAGGCCAGGGAATAAAACGGCATCTCAGCAACGAACCGTCCGTTTCCTCTCGGTGAGATTTTCCAATCTGACCAGCGTTCTCGTAGCCGGGCTGATGCCAGCGCCCCACCGCGCCCGGCGCTGCGCAGCCCCAGGCTGACGAGCCCTCCCTGCCCCACACAACGCAACAGACACACAAGGGAAGGATCGTGGCCCCCCCACTTCACAGAGGAGGAAAACAGAACCGCAGAGAGGGGCAGCAACTTGCCTGAGGGCACACAGGGGGAGGCTGGGTCCAGCACGCCACTCACACAGCCCCTAGACTCAAGCCCCCCCCCCGTCCCCCTGTGATCAATGAGCTCGTTTCTCACGGTGGGTCCAATCCTACAAATGTTTTACATGATCTTGTTGCCCTTGAACAGGCAAAGCTCCTGGGAGCTTCCCCCCAGCGAGGGGTGCAGGATCAGGGGTCCTTGCGACCAGCCCTCGATCCGTGAATTGGAAGGCAGCGCTACTCACTTACATTCAAGCCCCATAGTGTGTTATTTTCGAGGACCGCCTGCGGTCTATTTCCCCCCCACCAGGGAAATGTCAGGGGGTCAGAAATTAGTTACAGACGAGGTTCTAAAAGGACAGATTTAGGTCTCCATGACGCAGGGGCTCAGAGCAAAGAGAAAAAAAGAAAAAAGCCACTGTCAGTTTCACCACAGAAAACAACAGGCTGCCCTCGTTTGCATGTTTTCCTCTGTCAACCCCCTCAAAGCGGAGCGATCGGTGACTGGGGGGAGGGGGTAGCGGGGGGCTGGAGTCAGCTGAGCGGCCCCCGCAAACAAGGAGCCAGCCAGTGTTAAGAAGCAGAGACTTGAACAAGAAAGTGTTTGCACCTTAAAAATAAACCGCGTTACGGAACTGGGAAGCAGCCTGGTCATCACACAGACAGACAGAGCCCCAACAGAGTCAGACACCAGCACAGATACGTGAGGTGTGAAATATACCCTGGGGTAGGGGGTGTCTATTTTATGTGAGGGCCTCGCAATCTTTACCGTATTTATCCTCACCCCTCCCCTGCGAGACAGGGCAGAGCAAGCACCCCCAAGGGACAGAGGGGAAACTGAGGCACGGAGCAGCGCTGGAACTTGACACATGACAACTAGGACATGGCACCTAAGTCAAGAACAGATGATCTAAGGGTTGGAGGGACCACGTCTCTGCAGGGCAAAAATCTCACCCACTTGTGGGTCTTTACACCAGCCCCTCAGCACAGCCCCTCTCCAGCAGAAGGGTAAAACTAGGCAGCACCAAGAACACAGCTGAGGTCTGAGCAGCCTTTATTTTTAGCAGGTCCTGTCAGGCCCCTGCTAAATGCGTCTCTGGGGCTGATCCTTGGATGAAAGGAAGCTGCCCTTTTTTAAAGCCACCTCTCTCACCTGTTCCAGAGCACGAAGTCTCAGCATGTCCCGGCGGCGGGGGCTAGCGGGGAAGGGTTCATTCATCTCGGGGAGGGGTGTCATGACAGGAGACTCCTGTCTGACAAGCTTCCCAGCCTGACTCGAAACCAAATCCCTTCCCTGGGAGAGGATCATCCCAGCAGCCTGGATTCTCGGGGGCCAGGGGGGGTTAAACACTAGTTTGGAGGGTGGGGGGAGTCAGGCCCACGTTCAGACAAGCAGGGAGATGGGGAGACACACCCCAAGTCTGCTCCCCACCCCGCTGCCCAGCCGTTTGCCAAGGCTCCCTCCGGGGGTCACGTCTCCAGGGTTTTGCCCGGACTAGTTTAGAAGTCCCAAGCAACGGGGCGGGCGCCCGTCTGTTCCCAGCTCTCGCTCTCAGCACGTATTTCCCTGGTACCCAGCTTGAACGCAGGAATCTAGGGCGGACAGGGGCCTCCTGGGTCATTGCCTCCAGTCCCAGAGGCGCCCCCTGAAATTCCCCTTTGCTCAGCTGCCATCCTCCGCAATAGCCAAACAGCCTCCTCCCCACCAGTGCTCCCCGCTGGGGCAGCCAAGCTGGGGAAGCCGGAGGAGGGGCTGAGCCGGGATTGCCCGTCACCCCAAAAGGAGGTCAAAGAGCCACCCAGTAATTTAAAGAGGGCTGGTCTGGCCTGGGTGTGAGTAACCACTTCCTCTGACCCCAACCAGTATCACCCTACCCGCAGGCAGGCACCCGCCACGGGGCAGGGGAGGAGGAGTGGGTGGGAAGAGCCGCTCAGCCGGTGGAGTGCGGGGGCTGATCCTGGCGCAGAAGCCGTGGGGGGGTGAGAAGGACAGTAGGGGGGTTGCCCTAGTGGCTGACACCTGCTGTAGGAGCATCCCACGGCGAGGACCCGGGGGCTGGGGAAGAGGATCAGGTGGGGCCACCCCAAGGGAAGAGATTGGGGGAAATGCCCCGGT